GCAAACAACTTCTGGCCGTCGAAAGGCAGATTATCTACTGTAGTTTGAATCTCTCTGGGGACTGGAGTGGAGCCTAATCCATGATGCTCTTCTCATTACTATTGCTGTTGCTGTAGTGCATACAGCCATGTCAGCAGTGTCTAAGGCAGCCTGTGATGCTGTTCTTGCAATCGTGTGACCATCAGATACCAGTGCTTTGTAATGTTGCCTCTTAGCCTCAGGAATGTCTGCAATGAAGTCGTTCCGTTTGGTATAATTTCTATAATCATATTTGCTCAACAAAAGTGGAATAATTTGAAATGCAAAATTGTAAAGTAGAAGACGTATATATTTTGCGCTTGAATACATCAAGCCTTTTGCCATCGCAGTCCGATGGGGTAGACTGCTATTGTTGCTGCTTGGATTTTTGTTGTGTAGCTTCCACCACAAGAGAATTAGGTTCTGAGTGAGAATTAAGAAATTCCCAACTCTTGGGTGAGACATAATATTTCTTATCAGTTTTCTTAACTGTAAGAAGAGATTGACGCAGGAGTTTGCCACACAGTCTTTTCCAGTTCCATTACTGCTGGATTAATTGGCAATGCTATCTTTGATGGTGCTACTGAGTGCAGTATGTCTGTTAGCTCATGCTGATTTTCCACAACTTCTTGAAGAGGAATGTTAATTCTGTAGCTACACATTTAAAAAGGTGTTGGAAATGTGCATCATCATCTGAAGTCAGTGAAGCTGGGGCCAGAGGGGTTGCTGCCTCCTATTTGAGTGAGTCCCCTTCTTGCATTTGTTTGGAGGGGGAATATTGCATTCTGTGTCATTTCCGGCCATGCTGGTGTTTCTGATAATATTACCATTTGTCCCAGTGTTGCCCATAAGGGTAAGGCTCAGGTGGAGGTACCCAGGGATTGCCATAATATGAAGACATGTTCGCAGATCTGGAAGAGTAAATACTCTGAGCTGTGTAAGGAGAATTCTCTGGGGGGGGTTCCTCACACATGTGCAATGCCTGCAGCCTAACAGCATGTGACTGCTGGTGCACGTTTGTGTGGCCAAGGGACACGGCTATGAAATTTCCGCTCTGAGGCTCAGCAGCGACACACCGACCTAATGTGAAGCACTCACAGTGGCATCTCTCTCGAAGAACTATTTATTTCTTTTACTCATCTTCTTCAGAGTATGGCACTTGTGGATGCATTGCCCAATCCTGTTGTTAAGCAGTATGGAAAATTTTGGCTGCTACAGTAATTTTATCTGTTTCTGATGACTGCACTGTGCCAGTTCTGGTTAAGTCTTTGCCACTGTCTTTAGATGCATAGGAACCCTCCAATCCAGTAACAGAACTTTTTATCTTGCTTTTTCCTTTTGTATTATCATCTTTGGTCTGGGAAGTGATGTGGCTAGATCCAGGTCTGACTGCTACAATGAAGCATTTATCAGTGATCCAGCCCTGCTAACACTGGATACTTTTTTTCCTATTCATCTTCCTCAGAGCTGCAACCAATATATCTGGTGGCCTTTCACATGGCCTTGAATTTAGACTGTATGAAGCTAGTGCCGTCTGAAGTTTAAGAGCTTTTAGTTTAATCAGATCCAGTATCCTGTGTGCCAGGAGCACTGCTGTCTTAGTAGGTGCCAAACTCAAAGATGTCACAGGTCTCTTCACTTGTATCACATGCTCTTGGATGCATCAGATACCATAGACTTTGCTGGTATTGCTTGCAGAAGAAAAAGGTACTCACCTTATGTAGTAACTGAGTTTTTGAGATGTGTATTCCTAAGGGCTCCAGATCTGAAAAGTACAGTAAAGCTCCAATTGTCCGGCATCCAGTGGTCCGGCACTCCCGACAGTCCAGCACCAACGGGAACCCAGAAGTGCTCCGGCCTGCCGGACAATTGGAGCTGCTCCGTGCCACTTCCCCAAGTCCGCTGCTGCTGCTGCTGAGGCTGACCAGTGGCGGACTTGGGGAAGAGGCACAGAGCAGAGCAACTGGGGTGCTGCTGGGTTGATCCTTCAGCTCCGCCCCTCACCCCTCTGCTTGCCACCAGGCAGCACCCCAGCTGCTCTGCTCAGCTGCCACTGCTGAAACTGACGAGCGGTGGACTTGGGGAAGCTGCAGGGCGCCAAGCAGGGAGGTGAGGGACGGGGCTGCGGGACCAACAGGGCAGCACCCGGGCTGCTCTGCCCCCGGCTTTCCCAAGTCCGCCGCTCGTCAGTTTCAGCAGCAGCGACCAGCGGGGCAGAGCAGCTGGGGTGCTGCCGGGTTGGTCCCACAGCACTGCCCCTCACTTGAGTGGCACTGCAGGACTAACCTGGCAGCACCCCAGCTGCTCTGCCCCACCGCTTCCCCAAGTCATTGCTACCGCTTGCAGCCCCAGCTAGCCTATTGCCAGCAGCTGCGCGGAGATTCTCCCGCCTCCCTGCAAAACAGTGGAGGGGTTGCCCCATGCCGCGCTGTTCCCCGCTGACCCTCCCTACCCACCAGACCCCTCACAGCCCCCCTTCCGGAGTACCTGCTGATACTCCGGCATATCCGATATCCAGAAAGGTGCTGGATTATCGGAAGTTTACTGTATAGAGAAGTATGCTTCTGTCTGATGCTGCAATTGGAAGGACCTGGGGAACAGTTGACTCCAGGCCCCATTATAGTACCACCTTCATAACATTTAGAGAGGGTGTGTGAGGATTCTAACAGGAAATACTTAGAACAGGATCTACTACATAGGCTGCACCAACTGGCACTAACAAAGAATAGGAATATACAGAGGACACATGAAGGTAAACAGAAAGCTAGAATGGAACCCATAGTTCCATGATTTTAACTACACATTACTGCTGATCTTGCTATGGTCTATTGTAAATGAAAGCACTTTTTGACATTTCTGAACAATTAAACCATATATGTTAGAAAAACAACTACATTTGATAGAAATGTCAAATTTACAGTATAACATTAAGAGAGATCCTTTTAGTTACTTAAATCAGTGTTTTATCTGAAATCTGAGCTGCAATTCTCAAAGTATTTGTGCTACTGACAAAATTGGTATGTGTCAAAAATGAATCAATCATTCTGATGTTAATGAAGGAACATTTTCTATTATTTGAATAACATTTGTAATCTGAACAAGAGAAAAAAATCTATAGAATAATGGAGGTCATGCAAAAGCGATCTTTTTGAATGCATCAAAATATCAGCAACTGAAACCATGATCATTGATTGAAGCTTAGGCTAGGACACACAGAAGTGTGTGTTTTAGTTGCCTTAAGCACTGGCATAGAAGAGGAAAGAAATGAAGAAGCATGCATACACAAGGCAAAATTCATGCTGGAGCACACAGTTAATATTCTCTTTCATGGAGGATATTTTTAATTTGTATTACAGCAACATCTGCAGGCTCAGTACCAGGCAAATTAGTCGAAACAATAGTAAAGAATAAAATTGTGAGGCATGTAGAAGAACATAATTTGTTGGACAAAAGTCAGCATGGTTTCTGTAAAGGGAAATCATGTCATACTAATCTATTAGAGTTCTTTGAAGGTATTAACAAACAAGCGGACAAGGGGGGATCCAGTAGATACAGTATACTTAGATTTTCAGAAAGCCTTTGACAAGGTCCCTCACCAAAGGCTCTTGTGTAAATTACATGGCCATGGGATAAGAGGGAAGATCCTTTCTTGGATTGAGAACTGGTTGAAAGACAGGAAACAAAGGGTAGGAATAAACGGTAAATTTTCAGAATGGAGAGGGGTAACAAGTGGTGTCCCCCAAGGGTCAGCCCTGGGACCAATCCTTTTCAACTTATTCATAAATGATCTGGAGAAAGGGGTAAGCAGTGAGGTGGTAAAATTTGCAGATGATACCAAACTGTTTAGGATAGTCATGACAGAAGCAGACTGTCAGGGACTCCAAAAAGATCTCACCAAACTGAGTAATTGGGCAACAAAATGGCAAATGAAATTTAACGTGGATAAGTGTAAAGTAATGCACATCGGGAAAAATAACCCCAACTATATGTACAGTATGATGGGGGCTAATTTGGCTATGACAAATCAGGAAAGGGATCTTGGAGTTATCGTGGATAGTTCTCTGAAAACTTCCACACAGTGTGCAGCGGGGGTCAAAAAGGCAAATAATTATTAAGAAAGGGATAGAAAATAAGACCCAGAATATCTTACTGCCCCTGTATAAAACTATGGTACGCCCACAGCTTGAATACTGTGTACAGATGTGGTCTCCTCACCTCAAAAAAGATATTTTGGCCTTGGAAAGGGTTCAGAAAAGGGCAACTAAAGTGATTAGGGATTTGGAACGGGTCCCATATGAAGAGAGGTTAAAGCGACTGGGACTTTTCAGTTTAGAAAAGAGGATACTGAGGGGGGATATGATAGAGATATATAAAATCATAAGTGGTGTGGAGAGGGTGAATAAAGAAAAGTTATTTATTAGTTCCCATAATAGAATAACTAGAGGACACCAAATGAAATTAATGGGTAGCAGGTTTAAAACTAATAAAGTTCTTCTTCACACAGTGTGTAGTTAACCTGTGGAACTCCTTGTCAAAGGAGGCTGTGAAGGCTAGGACTATGACAGAGTTTAAAGAGAAGCTAGATAATTTTATGAAGGTTAGGTCCATAAAGGCTATTAGCCAAGGGGTAGAAATGGTGTCCCTGGCCTCTGTTTGTCAGAGGCTGGAGAAGGATGGCAGGAGACAAATCGCTTGATCATGGTCTTCGGTCCACCCTCTCTGGGGCACCTGGTGCTGGCCACTGTCAGCAGACAGGCTACTGGGCTAGATGGACTTTTGGTCTGACCCAGTACGGCCGTTCTTATGTTCTCTCATCAAATTGGGGCTGCATTGTGGTAGGCACGGTATACAAAAAAGGCATCTTTCACAACACTGAAAACTGATTTAAAGATTCCAGAATCTACAAGTGTTATTTTTTGAAGTTAGGATACATTGTTTACTATTTAGTAACTAAATAAATACTTGTCAGACAAAGTGAATACCTGAAGTCAATAGCATTGAGTCCCAATAGCATGCCAGCAAGCATATTAGCTTCCTCTCCCAAGACAATTGCTCCATCTTCATAAAATCTCCTGTAAGAAACAAAAAGGTTTTCACCAAATACAAAGAAAAAACCTAAAAACTCCCACAAATGAACACCAATCTCTGTTGTAAATAATAATTTAGCTATCACATTGACTATTCAGGTGATTAAATGTTTAAACTTTTAAAATCCCAATAAATAAAAACAATCATTGGATGCCCTAATGGCATCCATATTTCACTTCTGGTAAAACAAGGAAAGAGAACAGTATGAAGCAATACATTCAAGGGGTAGGACATTTCTGGAAGTGTCCCATAATGAAAAATCCAGACTGTTGCAAACAAAACAACAAGACATATGTTAATTAATGTATTAGGAAATATTTCATGACCCTGTCAAACAGCATTTCAAAAGAGTAAACCAAAAAACAACCCCCAACCCAAGAGAGAGAGAAAGCCACAAAACTGGAGTTTTACTCATGAATAGGGAAAGTATGTCATGCCTATTGCAAGAATGAGAATTGATGCTACCGTAGAAAGCCTTTTTCATCTGTATTTCAAAACTGACTAAGTACAGTTATAAGACCCAGTATTCAGATTTCACTTTCAACAGTTGATTATAAGTCTACGCCCCTATTTTTAGCAGTAGAGTGTCCTATTTCCTCCACACTGCTGAAAGCTTTTCCTTGCCAAAAGAAGAGACTCTCATAGTACATGAAAGGTCTTCAGGTCTTTAGATGATTTAGAACTAAGACAAGACACCTAAATCCACCTCTTAGTACCTAAATAAATGGCCTGATTTTCAAAAAGAGCTAACCACATGCATCTCACACTGAAGTTAATAGTAGCACACAAAGTTCGGCCACTTAAGTGCCCAACTTTAGGAATTCATGTTTGAAAATTTAAACAAAAAAGACTTAAAGAAATAAATCTTTAATTCTGGATAATTCAACTAATATTGAAAAAAATACACAAATTTTCGGATTCAGTTAACTCTGTAGCTTCATTGGTTTAGTCCTTTGCTGCTCGTGGATCAGGAAACTCAAATATTTTGCTTTAGCGCTGAGTAACTGGAAATCTAAACTCCCAGTGTCAAAAGCAGTTGGATAACACAGGTTGGATCTTCCTGATATGACACTTTTGGGGCCTGACCAGTCCCAAACAAGGGAATGCGCCAGACCAGGGGAAGTCCCCTGCCACTGGCTCCCCGCAACCCGCTGTTTCCAGCCCTGGCTGATCACTCTGCCGCCACCCTGGCAAGGCTGCCTGCCACTGAGCCAGGTTCCCACACTGCCCCAGCCCTGGCTCCTCTGCTGGGCTACCGCCAGGCATGCTGAGCTCCCAGCTGCCAACCCTCCTACTACCCTACTCCCAGTCACCGGGGCTCTCTGTCCTAAGGATGTTAAAGACTAGTCGACTATCCGATAAGCATTTGCTTATCAGATAGTCTTTTCACTAATCGACTAGTCAATATCTCCCCCCCCTTGCTGCCTCTGAGATGGAGGCAGCAAGGAGGGGGAAGGGGTACTTCAAAGTGGCCGTGCTGCACAGTGGCTCTGCCACTTTGAAACCCCAATGCAGCCGCTGCACAGTTGATCCGCAGATGAGCTGCCCCTTTAAAATGCTGCTTCTGCGCTATTCAAAGGGGCAGCCGTGGAGCCTGGGGTCAGCTGGGGACTCCCCAGCTGATCCTGGGTTCTGGGGAAAAGCTGACCCCGGGGTCCACAGCAGCTACCCCTTTAAAACGCTACCTCTGCAAAGGGGCAGCCGGGAGCTGCCCCTCTGAAATGCGCGGCAGCGGCGTTTTAAAGGGGCAGCCCGCCGCATAGCTTCTGCATAGCTGATCCACAGCATTTCCCCAGAACCAGTTGAGGAGTCCCCAGCTGACCCCCAGGTTCCATAGCTGCCCCTTTGAATCGTGCAGAGGCAGCGATTCTGCCCTTTATCAGGAGGGAGGAAATGAGCGCAGACTTTGTGGATGGCCCTGATTTCCAGGATATTGATATGAAATTGCATCTCTAGTTTAGACTTTGTGCCACAATGGGCATCCCGTCCACTATTGATGGATCAGGGCAATGGAAGGATATGGCCAGCAGATTGGTTGGAGAAGTCCACCAGTCGAGAGATTGTAGGACTGGCAGTGGAAGTGTGAGATGCTTTGCGAGGATGTGTCGGTTTGGGATATAGACAGTCACAAGCCAGTACTGTAGACAGTGCATATTTAGTCTCGTGAATAGGATGACAAAGGTTGTAGCTGCCATGTGTCCCAGTATTTGAAGACACTTGTGGGCTGTGGTGAAGGCAGTATGCTTGACTCCCCAGATAAGGTCGTATAGCATTTTGAATCTTTGCAGTGGCAGGTAAGCTTTTGCTGTCACTGCGTCTAGAAGTGACCCAATAAATTCTTTTGAGTGGGCTGCAGGGTGGACTCGTGGGTATTTAGGAGGAGGCCAAGCCGAGAGAAGCATTTTCTAGTAGTGTTCGTCATGGCTATCGTTTGTAGACATGTGATGGCTATCAACAATTCACATGCCAGACACCTCTTGAAACCTGGTGAACCCAGGGAAGTCTGTAAAACAGATTTAAATAAAAGTTCATTTTCCTATCTAACAACAAGAAATTTTTTAGAACAACTATAAACTAACTATGAAGAGAAAAATCCAAACAGCTAACTATTCTACTACAGTATCTAAGACATTTCAAATATATGCAGGAAAACTGCAGGTTCTGACTAAAACCAACAGTCACCGAGAAGGAACTTAAAGGTCGGTTGCCTGCGCAAGCGCTGCAGCCGTTCCAAACTGCATGTGCTGGCTGCCTGTGTGCGCAGCCTACCAAGGGCACTACTGTGTCAAATTCTCTGACGAGAGGTGCAACACCACCAAAACACCCAAGGTGGAGCAGCCACATGATACTCCTCAAAAAGAACACCCATGTTCCTGTCGAATCATGGATGCTGCTAGACCAGGGTGCCGGTTTAGGGAGGCGCAGCCTGTGCTACTAAGAGTAATTTCGTAAGTTGAATGACAATAATCATTGATTTAATGTGAAGAAATCTATGGAAACACAAATTGTGTCTGTGTCAAGTTATTGGGAACATCCTCATATTCCAAATGAATGACAAATAATAAAAGGTTTGTTTTTTTAAAAGCGAAACTAGTTAAACGGCCAACTAATTAAAACCATTGCTATCTATAACCTAACAAGTTTAACTACTAAACACAAAGAATGGCAGCTTAAGAGGACTTAAAAGTTGGGCTTTTAAAAAAATTACATGTTTAAGAATTTCTCACATACTTCAACGTGTAGGTGTACATGGATAAATGTTTATAATTTTAAGCAAAGAGTGCATGTATGGAATGCTCAGTTATTTAATCTGAAAAATGGGAATAATGTCTACCTTGCGCTAATGGAATTTAGATTTGTAAAGTACTTTGAGATCAATAGACATAAAGTGCTAAAGAAAAACTAAGTATGGCAAATGAAATAATTTTCCCTTACTCAATTTTGTTGGTGTTCTTTGACTATTCTGAAGTCTATTTAAGTCCCTGGTAACATGGTAAAATGGTAACATGTGGCCCGATAAACTTTTTACAGGTGTGGTCTCAACTTTATAGACAGAGAACCCTCTGCTATGGCATGAAGCCCGTACAAGAGCAACCCAAAACAGCACAACATATTCTGATACCATATCTATCATACCATAAATTCATGTTAAATTTTTTTAGCCACTATTGCTTTCTCTTTTATTAAGGCAATAAAACAATATAATTGGCATTATCAAATATAACTAATTTTATATTTTACAGCAGGACTTCACACTGGTATACATTAATTCTAACCTTCACTCAAGTACTTTACCAGAAGTCTCTTCCTTTCCCCCCTAAGTCATACCTGGGAAAATTCTCAATAATAATTGGGACAAGACTTCTTTCACTGTGTTTCTAAAGTCTTTTTAATCTAATGGCACTTCCTAATCTTGAGAAAAAGATCTGACTGGTGTTTCATTTTCTGCCTGTATGTAGGCAACAAACACTAGTAAAACCCTTTTACAGTAAAACTCCAACTGTCCGGCATCCAGTGGTCTGGCACGCGTAATAATCTAGCACCAACTGGAACCCGGAAGTGTTCTGGCCAGCCGGACAATTGGAGCTGCTCTTCCCCCGGCTTCCCCAAGTCAGCCGCTGCTGAAACTGCTCAGTTTCAGCAGCAGTGGACTTGGAGAAGCCGGGGGCCGAGCAGCTCCAATTGTCTGGCTGACCGCAGCACTTCCGGGTTCCCGTTAGCATCCCCACCCCAGCCCAGACCCCTCATAGCCCCCCTTCCAGTACTCGGGCATATCTGATAATCTGGCACCCCGTGGGTCCTAAAGGTGCTGGATTATCAGAAGTTTACTGTATAAACTTTAGTTCCCTATCTTATCAAGTCTCTCCAAAATCCAATTTAAAAAATAGCCGAACTGTTATCAGAGAGGGATATACAAATTACCAATTATGCCAGTGCTACCATAGAAATACTGGCTTCTAGATTAGTCTGCAGGGAAGCAACTGATACTCCAACACAGACTATCACACACAATTTCTGCTATTTACTTCTTATGCATACATAGATCAAGTACCAAGTTTAGTCCCAAACCCAGGTCTTTTGCCTAAGCAATACTGTAAAGTTTAGCACTCAGCAAATAAAAGGACTTTAAGACCTGGTTGTTTTGAAGTCTCTTAGTGCTGCAGAAATATATTCAGACAAATGTTTTTCCATAAGTGCCACTCTGATCCACGCTCTGCCCTGAAAGGAGGAAGAAACAATATAAAATACTAAAGTCACATACTAAAAAGCAGTCTGTTTATTTGCGCCACTGGAATGCAACCATACCCTGCCCCCCCTCCTCCCCCCCCCACACACAGCTGCAGGCCATGGGGGAAGGGGCACTGGAGATTCGGACTAGCCCCTAGAGCCTTTCCCCCAGACTGGATGCAGACCACAGGAGGGGGGCACTAGAGGCCGGGGAAAGTCCCCGGAGCCTGCCTTCCCCCCAGGAGAGCCTGCAGGCCATGGAAGAATAGCTGCAGGCTGGGGAAGTCCCTAGATCCTGCACACTCCTATGCAGAGAGCCTGCAGGCCTTGCGGGGGGAGAGGGGCTTCATCCACCCTTACAAGGGGATTCAGGCCTATTCATCCCTGCAGAGAAGCTGCAGGCAATGGGGCAGCCCCCAGAGCCTACCCCCACTCCCCACCCCCAAGAACCTGCAGTGCACAGGAATTGGGAGGGACTGCAGGCCACAGGAGGGCCATTGCTGCAGGGCAGCCCCCAGAGCCTGCCTGCACCCTGGACAGCCCACATGCAGGTCACTGCAGGCCAAGAGAAGCCCCCAGAGCCCTGCCTTCACCCACAGATAGGCTGCAGGCCACTGTATGCCAGGACTGTCCCCCTGGGAGCCTTGTCCTATCCCACTCTCAGATTGTATCATGGGGGGGAGGGGCATGGGAGAGTCCTGGAGACCAGGAAGCCCCTGGATCTCTGCTCCCTCCAGCAGACAATCTGCAGGCTGTGGGTGGAGGGCTGCTGGAGGCCACACACACCCCCAGACATGCTACAAGCCTTTGGGGGGGCAATTGCTGGAGTTTGGGGCTGGCCCCCAGAACCTGTCCACTCAGAACAGCCTGCATCATGCCACGGGGCAGCCCTTGGAGCCTGATCACCCCCACACAGGCTGGGGAACTAGCCCCTAGGGAACAAGCCCCTGCAAGCCCTGCCCTCTGGAAGGAATCTCCATCTAGGAAGTGAAGCTCTGGCTCTCCATGAAAAGCCTCCACTGAAACAGCACCACCCTTTTTGCCATATATTGCCTCCCTGCCCCCTGCCTTGAGTCCTGCACCACACACACCCTGTCCTGGAGCCCCCCACATTGAACCCTATGCCTTCAGCCCTCCTCTCACTGCCCTCACTCCAGCACCCTATACCCCTTGCCCTTTGTCCCTCAAACCTCACAAACCCTGCCCTCATTCCTGCACCCACACCCCCTACACTGAGCTCCTGCCCCTATCTGGAGTTCCAGTGTCAGCCATTGTGGGCTGCCCGGGGCTCCAGCCCCACATTGCCATAGTCTTGGCCCCTGTCCCACTGCCATGGGCTGCCGAGGCTTCAGGCTCCCTCCTCTGCCACTGGCTGTCAGCGACCCGGTCCTGGGTGGCCAGGGGCTGCCTCGACTCAGTCCTAGTGCTGCAGGCTGCCGGGGACTGATGCCAGCTCCATCCACATCCCATTGCTACAACCCAGCTCCTCCCGGATTGCCTTCCTGCCACTAGTCTACCAGGGTTCTCTGATCTAGAAACATCTGCAGTCCCGACCAGAGAATTCTGGTTTTGGGAGGAGCAAGCTGTACAAACTTCTTCTTTTTTTTCCCTTCATTTTTGAAAAATACAATCAACTAAAGCATGTACATTTTCCTTTATTTTCTACTCAAATCCAAAAGCCCATTTCACCTAAAGACCCAAGCCATGCAGGGTACATCTGCTAGCGTATATGTATATAAAAGGTCATTGCTGTAATGATCATCATTCTGTTTCTGCTATTTACATGGCAATGATCTATAAAATTTCACAAATAGTTATTTTTTTAAAAAGTGAAGGATTTTGCAGGATAAATTTAGCCAGCTATATATTCCTTTTGGGAATAAAGATTAAGATGCACATACAAAGACATGTGGCACCTCAGAGACAATATATGTTTCATGAGCATTCTTGGGCAAAACCCACTTCTTCAGATGAGCTGGTATAATTTGCAGGAACCTTGATGTTTTACTTCTTACCTTTGCTCTAGAAGAATTGACATTCTCCATATTTTCAATGCTGCAGATGCAATTGTGCGAAACCTTACGGCAAGCTACTCGGATATAATCCCAGAAGCTACGAGGGCTTTCGTAGCCAAACCAGGTGATCTGACCTTAATCAGAAGGCAGGAAACACAAAAAATATAAGTACAAAGGAAAATACAGTTAGAAACAATAAGGACATGTAGCCAAATTTTGGCTACCTCTTGAGCTTTGTTTTCACTGCTATTGCACTAGTATAGCCGTACCAGAAGACACACACACCAATGCAAGTTCCTAGTGTAGATATACTGCACTTGCATGAAAAATGATTCATATTGGTGAAGTTTACCTTGCTTTGAAACCTTTGTGTAGATAAAGATTTTGTTTTGCCTTACTTAAAAAGGAAAAAAAAAGATTATATTGCAATAGCACTCAGAGCTCTAAACAGTAACCAGGATCTGAATGTACATCAAACTTGAATTTTATGCTCTTTTGGCCATGTCTTCAAGCACAGACAGGGACAATTAAAAGAATCAAAGACAAAGCAAGAACCTGTACAGTAAAGTTATGCTTTTCCAACCATTTTAATTTTATTCCTATTTGTTCTGCTACTGTTGCACTTATCCCAGCAATTCCAAAAACTGTGGGTAGTGACCCAGTCACAAGATGGGGGTGCAACGATCCCTATAGTGCAGAGGACATCATTATGCTCGGTACAGCATGGCCTTACTGAGTAAGAGATCACCATCCATGGAAAATGACATCCTCCACAAAGCATGATTTAGTAAACAACATATGTACTAAGGATGTTAAAATGCATTTATTTTGGTAAACTTGTCAGCAGTTACAAAGTTTACATGGGGGAGGGTGGAGAAGGAGCACCATGAGAACTGGTGCTCTCAGAGAGCTTGCTTAAAAACTGGCTCCCCACAAGCACCGGTTCCTGCCTGCCCCGCCAAACACTCTGCTGCCTTCAATACAGAGGCAGCAACAAAGGGGGAAAAAACCTGTGTGTAACCGTGAAGGTTAACCAATGAGCCCAGACTCATAAGTTAACCATTTACACAATCACATCCCTAATATGTACAAAGTCACAAGGTGTAGAGGAAGCCATTTTATAAAGGAAAATAGCATCATTCATACAGCATGCCTGCCCTCTCATGTACTATGCAGGCAAGGTCACACTGTGCAGAAGATGCCATGCTGTTCTCCAAAATTACAACCTCTGTGCTGTCAGGGGTCCCAGCATGAATGTCTTCACTAAAATGAGGTCATGCTGGCAATAAGTTTGAGAACCCCAGTCCTATGCCAAGCAGTAGCAAATTTTGGGGCCCTGAGAGTTTGTTTTCCATCGGTGGCACAATCACTGATGTGAAGTCTAAGTATTTTCTTGTTGCAGCTAGTTTTATTTGCAGTATATAAAACATAGCAGACCTTGAATACAGAGGGTAAAACAGTATACAGGCAGTCCCCGACTTACGTGGATCCGACTTACGTCGGATCCCTAGATACGAACGGGGTGAGGCAACTCCCGCACATGCGCAGCAGCATTCCCGGGGCTCGCTCACCTGGGTCCTAGGATCCTCCTCCTCCTCGGGCCGGCTCCGACTGGGGTCCCGCAGAGCTGCCGGGCAGAGGAAAAGTGCCTCCCCACGCCCGCTGCCCCTCCCACCCCGCGGCCTCGCATCCTGCACGCCTGCCCACCTCCTCTTTACCATCATCCAACCCCCACTTTTAATACAAATTCAATTCGTAATTTCAAATTAAAAATAAACACAAAATCTTGGTATAAACATTTTTATTTAAAATTAAAAATAAACACAAATAGTTTTTCTTGGCACAAAAATTTAATATAAATGTAATTTAACATAAGAAATAGTGGAACAAAAAGTGTGTGCTGCCTGAGCAGTTGGAGCTGGTACAGTCCCAGGACTCCTACGCCCTCCACCCCTCCCCCCACGCAGGCAGGAAACAGGGGGAAGGAAATCCCTGGCGGCATAATAGACCCGGCATTTCAGGAAACGCGCCAGCTGTTTGGGGAGGGGGAAAGCAGCTCATGTTCTTCGTGAGACCTGGACCTGGTGTGCAGCTGCGGGACTTTCCCTCCCTCCCCCCTCCGCCCATGCCGCAGGAAGCCGGTGCTACCTCCATTTTTGCAGGAGGGAGCAACAATGCGGACTCCTTTTCAGGAGCCAATCCATCCCCAGCACATTCCCATTGGCCAATGGGAGCTGCTTGTTAGAATCACAGGCAGCTAAGAAGAATTACGCCCCCTCTCCTGGGGTCAGTTATTCATGAAGCATGTAGCTAGACAGGCAGGCAGGCTGGATGGCTGGGAAACATTTTAAGTTTGGAAGGGTTTTTTCTTGAAGTTAAGTTATTCTAGTTTCAAATAATTGCTTCTCTGATCTGATTAATGACTACTGGAGTAATTTAGATAACCCTGTTTATACTATTAAGTGCCACAGCTATAAACTCCAAACGCATATGCCAAACAGCAGACTTAATATTCAAGGGTGTCCCCTCTAGATGCAAACGCCTGGAAACCGAACTAGTATGTTTACAAACCTCACTTTGTAACCATGCAGTAACTGCAATTGTATTAAGCTACAAAAGAGGAGCAGCGCTTTTTGTTCATTTTATTTACTTAAACAATAATTATGGAGATACAGCAGTCTCTCATTTAGTTAAAGATCACAATTCTTTTTTCCCTTTCTCTTTGCATAAGATTAAACCAATTTCATCTAAATGTCCCATGTGTATTCATCTGACAACACAACAGGTTTTGGAAAGTTTAGAGGATCATAATAAAACAAGATACTGGGGAATGAGATTTTTAAAGTTCTTTTTATTTTACTAAACAATTTCCTACCATTCCTTGTTATCTCACCTCCAAACAACCTTAGTCTTTAAAAAGTCACATTACAGGCAGTCCCCGGGTTACATGACTTACATCGGATCCCTACTTACAAACGGGGTGAGGCAACCCCACACTAGCTGCTTCCCCCCAGCAGACCAGGGAGACGCGAAGCTAGCACCCTCCCCCCCCAGCAGACCAGGGAGATGCGGAGCGGCTTTTCTCAGCAGACTCCTCAGCTTGAGAATAAAGGACTGAGGGAAGTGAGGTGTAGGAGAATAAAACTGAGTTCTGGAGAAATGTTTGGCTAGAGTTTCCCCTACAATATGTACCAGTTCCGACTTACATACAAATTCAACTTAAGAACAAACCTACAGTCCCTATCTTGTACGTAACCCGGGGACTGCCTGTAAAACAAATTCCCTTTTTCAGGAATCTTAAAAAAAATTATCTTGCCTGGTTCACACAAAGGCTGCTTGTGATAGCTCCCCCAAAACAAAACACAGCATTTCTTGCAAAACTGAATAGTGTTTGTATGCTAGTGATATGATGTGGTGGGACAGGGCTCCACCCAAAAGGGCTCAGCGTTCCTCCCCCTCCCGGGTCAGTGGGCAGTCACTCCACCACACTTCACTCTCCTATCCCTGTATGAGTTTATACACTCATATATACGTGGCCACTCTATCCAATGCAAATGAATGGGAAAAAATGAACTATTCAATAGTTATTTGGAACAGGAATTTCTCACACTGAAATTGCAGATCTAAAGGATAACTTCTGAAATGTTCATTAGGCATCCGATTAGCCAAGGACATTCAAGACTTGGATTCTACTAAAAGAACCAAGCATTCAAAACAAAATGAAAATTCCTTTTGCTCTCACACTACACAGAAAGCCCCTTATATTCGTTTTTCTGATCTGTGTAGCAGCTGCCATGTGTTCTCTGAAGGTAGTAAGCGCATAATGTCACTTGCTCTAAAAAAACCTAGTAACATGACATAGATACAGACATAATTACACTTCAGTTTTACATTAGCAAAACTCAACTTAGAACAGTTGGATCCATTAAGGTTTTGAGCATATACAGGCAGTCCCCGGGTTACGTACAAGATAGGGACTGTAGGTTTGTTCTTAAGTTGAATCTGTATGTAAGTCGGAACTGGCGTCCAGATTCAGCCGCTGCTAAAACTGACCGCCAGTTCTGACTTACATACAGATTCAATTTAAGAACCCCAAGCTTCCCCAAGTCAGCTGCTGCTGAAACTGATCAGCAGCTGATTCCAGTAAGCCCGGGGCAGAGCAACTCTGCCTCGGGCGACCTGTAGTCAGCGCTGGTCAGTTTCAGCAGCGGCTGAATCTGGACGCCAGTTCCGACTTACATACAGATTCAATTTAAGAACCCCAAGCTTCCCCAAGTCAGCTGCTGCTGAAACTGATCAGCAGCTGATTCCAGTAAGCCCGGGGCAGAGCAACTCTGCCTCGGGCGACCTGTAGTCAGCGCTGGTCAGTTTCAGCAGCGGCTGAATCTGGACGCCAGTTCCGACTTACATACAGATTCAATTTAAGAACCCCAAGCTTCCCCAAGTCAGCTGCTGCTGAAACTGATCAGCAGCTGATTCCAGTAAGCCCGGGGCAGAGCAACTCTGCCTCGGGCGACCTGTAGTCAGCGCTGGTCAGTTTCAGCAGCGGCTGAATCTGGACGCCAGTTCCGACTTACATACAGATTCAATTTAAGAACCCCAAGCTTCCCCAAGTCAGCTGCTGCTGAAACTGATCAGCAGCTGATTCCAGTAAGCCCGGGGCAGAGCAACTCTGCCTCGGGCGACCTGTAGTCAGCGCTGGTCAGTTTCAGCAGCGGCTGAATCTGGACGCCAGTTCCGACTTACATACAGATTCAACTTAAGAACAAACCTACAGTCCCTATCTTGTACGTAACCCGGGGACTGCCTGTATTCACTGAGCATAGTGCAGGCTCCATTGTTTTAGAAAAATAAAAAGAGAGTATAACTGGAAAACTGAGAATTATTAATGTACCTTTCAGACGATGACTTAAAATCTGTTCCAAAATGGCCGCAAAATTATTAAATTCAGGGGAAGAATCATCAATAGTCTCAAAACAGGAACGATCAATCAGAGTCTTGACAGAGAACCTAGAAGAGGAGGATGGGATACTGATTTTATAGATATATTGTACCATTTGATATAGAGGGACAAAACACATTTTATATATAAAAATACCTGGAAGCGATCAAGATGTTCAAGTTATAACATATATGGTTCTCGGTTAACTAAAGTACAAGATGTAACCTAGAAAATATTGTAAATCATCATTATTATTATTATACTTAAAGCTTTCATAGATCCACAGAATTCAAGGCCAGAAAGGACCATTATGATCAACTAGTCTGATCTACTCTGTAGCACAGGACATGGAACATCCCAAAAATTACTCTAAAGCAAATATTTCAGAAAAAACATCCAATTGTGATTTTTAAAAGTTGTCAGTAAGGAGAATCCACAAAAACCCTTCAAATTGTCCCAACGGTTAATTATCCTCATAATTAAACTGAAATGGAAATAAGGTATACATTTTTCTCTAGATTCAACATCCTGTCATTGGATTAGGTTATATGTTTCTCTGCTGGACTGAAGAATCTATTATTAAATGTTTATTTCCCATATAGATACCTATAAATTGTACTCAAGTTGCCCACTAACTTTTTCTTATTTAAGTTAAATAAGTTGATCTCCAAGTCTTTTTCTAATCCTTCATGTCTCCTTTGAACCTTCTCAAATTTATCAACTTTCTTCTTGAATTGTGGACACCAGAAGCAAATGCAGTATTTCAGAAGAAGTCATGTTTGTGCTAAATAGAGGTGAAATAATATCTCTAGTCTAAAAGGGTGTCACAAGGAGGAAGGAGCAAATTTGTTCCTCTTGGTTTCTGAGGACAGGACAAGGAGTAATGGGCTTAAAGTGCAGCAGGGGAGGTTTAGATTGGACATTAGGAAAAAATTCCTAACTGTCAGGGTGGTCAAATATTGGAATAAATTGCCAAGGGAGGTGGTGGAATCTCCCTCTCTGGAGATATTTAAGAACAGGTTAGATAGATATCTGTCAGGGATGGTGTAGACGGGGCTTGGTCCTGCCTTGAGGGTGGGGGGCTGGACTCGATGACCTCTCGAGGTCCCTTCCAGTCCTATTATTCTATGATTCTATGACTTGAGATTCTCTCATTTGCACTGCCAATCGCATTAGGACTTTTGGGTGAACCATCAGACTGATGCTGCACCCAAAACCGATTATTTTAAACTGATTATCTACAATAACCCCCCAAATCTTTTTCAGCATTAGTGCCTCCCAAGATAGAGACCTTATGATGTAAATATGGCCTATATCCTTGGTTCACAGATGTATACATTTACATTTAAACATATTAAAATGCATACATGCTTGTGCCCAGTTTATCAAGCAATCCAGATGCCTCTGAATCAGTGACTTTTCTTCTTTATTTACCATTCCCCCAGTGTTTGGATCATATTTGAACTTTATTAGCAATGATTTAATAATTTCTTCTAGGTCATGGATAAAAATGTTAAAAATAGCATATGGCAAATAATCAATTACTGATGGACTCTACTGAAAGACACTCAGCTGATCACTATTCCTATTTACAATTATTTGAAACCCTTCAGTTAGCCATTTTTTCATTTAATGTGTTTCAACATTAATGGTCAAGTGAGTTCTTCAGTCAACTCTTTTAAAACTCATGGATGCTAATTAGCTGGACCTGCTGCTTTAAAAATATCTAAAGCTCATGTCTTATATTTAACATTATCCAAAGATACTACTGGAATAGAAAAAGCATTGTTATCCCAATATGATGAGAGCATACTATCAGTTCATCCCCAGAGACAGGATATTGATATTTATTGAATACTTCTACTTTTTCATTAATAATTCTACCATTTCCAACTAATAATGGACTGATTCAATTGTCTGGATTCCTTTTGTTCCTAATGTAGCAGTTTTCAAACTGTGGGTTGAGATCCCAAAGGGAGTCACAATCCCATTTTAATAGGGTTTCCAGGGCTGGCGTTAGATTTGTTGGGGGCTGAGACCAAAGCTGAAGCCCAAGACCCACTGCCCAGGTCCCAAGTCAATGACTGAAGGCTTCAGCCCTGGGCAATGAAGCTCAGTTTTCAACTTCAGCCTCAGCCCTTGGTAGTAGGGCTCAGCATATAGGCCCCCTGCAGCTGATGCCTTTGGATTCTGGCCACTCGGCTTGCGGCAGTGGGGCTCAGATGGACAAATTCAGGTTTCAATCCCCCTTCCTGGGGTCACGTAGTTATATTTGTTGTCAGAAGAAGGTTGCAGTGCAATGAAATTTCAGAACCCCTGTCCTAATATTTTTTTAAACTTCTTATTGTCGTTAAGATAAATCTCTGGCCAGCAGAGTTCTTCCCTATAATTCTTAACTTCTGACATATTCATTATTATCAACTTCCCCTTTCTTTCATTTGTTTTTACTTATTTATTATAGCTATGTACACTTCCCCTCCAAACCAGGATGTTTTTTAAACCAGCACAGTCTTCTTACTTTGTAGTGGCTTTCTGGTCATCTAATAAGGTATTCTTAAAAGATAATCAGAAAAATGTGAATTGGTAAGATCTTCCCTCTTAGCTGATATGGCTTAATTGTTTTAAGCTTTGTTAAAATGGCCCTAATACATCATCAAGTATATTACTGATCTGGAATTCACTGTACAGTAAACTTCCGATAATCCGGCACCTTTAGGACCCAGGGGGTGCCGGATTATCAGATATGCCGGACTATCAGAAGGAAGGGCTATGAGGGGTCTGGGGTGGGGGGGATGCTCCCCCAGACTCCCTCATAGCCCTCCCCTCTGATAGTCCGGCTCTGCCCCAGGAGTCCCTGCTTCAGCCGCTGCTGGTCAGTTTCAGCAGCGGCTGAATCCGGGACAGCTGGGGTGCTGCCGGGTTGGTCCCGCAGCGCCGCTCCTCGGCACTACTGGACCAACCCGGCAGCACCCCAGCTACTCTGCCCCAGGTGTCCCCAAGTCAGCCGCTGCAGAAACTGATCAGCGGCTGACTCCAGAAAGCCAGAGGCAGAGCTGCTCTGCCCCGGGCTTCCTGGAGTCAGCCCTGGTCAGTTTCAGCAGCGGCTGAATCCGGGACAGCTGGGGTGCTGCCGGGTTGGTCCCGCAGCGCCGCTCCTCGGCACTACTGGACCAACCCGGCAGCACCCCAGCTACTCTGCCCCAGGTGTCCCCAAGTCAGCCGCTGCAGAAACTGATCAGCGGCTGACTCCAGAAAGCCAGAGGCAGAGCTGCTCTGCCCCGGGCTTCCTGGAGTCAGCCCTGGTCAGTTTCAGCAGCGGCTGAATCCGGGACAGCTGGGGTGCTGCCGGGTTGGTCCCGCAGCGCCGCTCCTCGGCACTACTGGACCAACCCGGCAGCACCCCAGCTACTCTGCCCCAGGCGTCCCCAAGAGCAGCTGGGGTGCTGACGGGTTGGTCCCGCAGCCCCAAGGGGCAGCGCTACTGGACTTACCCAGCAGCACTCCAGCTGTTCAGCCCCGTGCTTCCCGGATTCAGCGCTGGTCAGTTTTAGCAGCGGCTGAATCAGGGAAGCTGGGGGCAGAGCAGCTCCAATGGTCCGGCTGCCCGGAGCACTTCCAGGTTCCTGATAGGGCCGGGCCATCAGGAGTGCCGGACCATCAGAGTTTTACTGTACTTGCACATTATAAATGTGATCAAGTCATTACCACTTGTATCTAAACTATCTTTCATTTTTCATTCTGTGAACAGTTTCTCTATATGTTAAGGTTAAGGATGTAAAATCTCGTTTAACTAGTTAACTAGTTAAACACTATGTTTAACCGATTATATTGGGCATGGGTCCGTTCCAGCCAAGTTTGGCTGGAGTGGCCCCTTCCTGCCTGTGGGGATGGCGAGACCACCACAGACAGCCCGCAGGGCATGCAGGCCCCAGACACTGGAGCAGCCCCTGCCTGTAGGGTGCCCAGGCCCTCCGAAGACAGAGGCTGCTCCAGCCAACCAAAGCAGCTCCTCTCTGCAGAAAACCCCAGTGGGGCTGGAGCAGCCCCCTGCCTATGTAACAGTTAACTGGCACCAGTAAAGATCACCCATTAAGGATTATGTTTACTGGTTAATCTTTCACATCCCTAGTTGGAACCCACCTTTCAGATGATTTTATGGTATCTTCTCACAATGAGGATACCACTCCGGGGGTGGGAACTCCCATTATTAGGAAGAGACAGATAATGGTTATGGGGGATTCACTCATTAGAAACATAGATAGCCAAGTTTGTGATGACCAGGAGAATCGCATGGTGACTAGCCCGACTTGCGAAGGTTGTAGATCCCTCAGGACTTCCAGATTGACTTATGGGTATGCTGGGAAGGAGCCAGTGGTCATTGTACATGTAGGTACCAATGACATATGGAAGGATAGGAGAGAGGTTCTGGAGGTCAAATTTAGGCTGCTAGATAAGAGACTTAAGTCCAGGACCTCCCTAGTACTATTCTTTGAAATGCTTCCAGTTCCATGTGGAGGGCCAGTTAAACAGGAAGAACTTCAGGGTATCAGTGTGTGGATGAGGCAATGATGGAGAGAGGTTCAGATTTATTAAGAACTGGGGAAATTTTGGGGAAAGGGAGAGCCTATACAGCAGTGGTCTCCAACCTTTTTACACCCAAGATCACTTGTTAAATCTCCAAACAGGCAAAGATCTACCACCCTGCTCCTTTCTTGAAACCCCACCCATTTCTTGAAGCCCCGCCCTCTCTATTCTCCTCCTGTCCATCATTTGCTATCCCCAGCCCTTACTTACGCACTCCGATAAACAGTTTATTTTTTAATTATGCGATGTATAAAATTAAAATCACGTTTATAGTTATGAAATAAATGGTCTGTTTTTTATTCATGCTATTTAAATCTAAAATGAAGCATTTATAATTATACATTTTGTGGGGACAGAGTTCTGCAGCGGGGGGCAGGGAAGAGGGAACAGGGTGCTGGGAGGGCAGAGGACAGGGTTCTGCAGCAGGGGACAGAGTGCCAGTGGGAACAGGAATAGAGACAGAGTTCTGTAGCTGGGAACAGGG